GGGGGGGGGGGCAGGGCTAATGGAGGCCAATCTGCACGGGGGGCTCAGGGACTGCACTGATGGCAGCAGACTACCGCAGAGAGTTGCATTCTGTGAAAGTTGAAATGTATACTTTATGGTGTTTGGCGGAAAAAAAGTGAGTCAAGCGTTTTTTTCTAATGTGAGGATTGGGAGGAGGAGAAATTGCAGCCAAATTGCAATATTTGTTCTTTCTCTTGTTTTGGATTTACAAAATTTGGCCAGCTTTCAACAGATATAGATACCAGTGCAGATGTGCTGGCTCTCAGTGCACTGGCCGAGGGTGCTGGTGTACTTCACACTGGAGACCTGGAGAAACGATTCCTGTTGTTAGAGACTGGACGTCAGGAGACGCACAGGAAGCCCCGCTGGCCTCGGTGGCAGTCCGTCGCGTTTGTAACTTAAGTTCCAGAACACGCCTCCTCTCCAGGCTGCATTTAGAGGTGGAACTGTGGAGCTGAAGCTTTGTTAACTACATTTCAAAATAGTTACAGCCAGGCTGACACACTTGCAAGACGCGAGGATGTGAGGCCCGGGGATTGGAGGCTGGGGTTTGACCACATGGTCTGCTCTCCCGAGCCCTTGGCTAGAAGACTGGCCAGGCTTGGAGCTGGGGAGCCGGCCCAGCCCAGCCACTGCCTTGAGGTGGGAGTCAAGCCTGCGGAGAGCGGGGGTCGACAGAGCTGGCTCCAGCCTGTGGGTAGACGCCGGCCCTCCCAGGGATGGTACTGATTGAAGGGAGTGGGCCCAGGAGAGACCCAGGTCTCCCAGACCAACCCGAGGCGGCCCTGCCGCCTGCCTGGTGCACAGGTGTGGGCGCCACGTGGCGTCGCTGAGCCCAGCCCCAGCCCGGAGGCCCGAGGGTTCCCATGAAGATCCAGCCCCTGTGTAGACACGGCGAAGGAGAGGGAAGAGGCAGACTCGTGACGGTTCCAGAGCAGGGGCATCCTGTGCATGTCCAGGCAGCTCTGGGCAGGAGTCGCCCAGCTGTGCAGCCAGATGAGACACAGAGGTGGAGAGACTTCCCGGGGAGCTGGGGTCAGTGGTCTGAGGTTTCTGGGTATGAGGAAAGCAGGCAGGGTGGAGGGGGTGAGGAGGTAGGGTAGGAAAGAAGGGAGAAGGCGGGAGGGGCCGGCGGGGGCAGGCTGGTCTGCATTCCACCTCCCCACCGAGTTCCCTGGTTTGGATATGCAAGGGTAACTGCTCCAAAAGAGAGAGGAGGGGAAAGGCTGCTCCAGTCTCAGCTGTGCTTTATTTGTCAGAAGCACCCATATATGAATATTCATACATTTTAAATCATTTAAGTAATTAGTCTAAGTGAGAGCTGGCCGGGTGCGGCGCGTGGAGTCTGAAATCAGCATTTTTGTTCAGTAATTTCTTTGGCAGTGTCTATGAGTTAAGGCATAACTGACACCACAGCACGGTGATCAGGGCCGGGGTCGGGGTCAGGCTGCCTGGACTTGCGACCTGGTGCCCTCCACGCAGGGCGCACCTCCCTCACGCGGCCAGCCCACCCAGGTGCTTGCTGCTCTTGTCAGAAGGCTGTTAACAACCTTCCGTGGCTGAACGGTGGGGTGGGAAGCACCGTCTGTCTGCTAGAGCGGCTTCGGGTACAGGTGGAGTCATTAGCATCACGTCCGACAGTAGTATCCGTCAAGCAAATGAAGCTAGTGGCAGAGGTTGTCGGGCCCAAGGCCCTGGAACCCTACATCTGTGAGTCCCTGTACCTGCATGGCCGATTTTCATTGTACATAAAATGAACATCGTAACCCCTCCATGCCAGCTGTCCCCACCATCCAGCGTGAGCTCCTGGGGGCAGAGCCGACGGGCTTAGGAGGGGAGGTGGTGGAGTGACCACATCTGTGGACATCTCACGAGACCCCCGCGGGGCCCCTGCTCCCTCCGCTCGTCACCTGCCCTGCGGAGGTCACCGCAGAGTCCCACTGTGTAGAGGGCGCTCCTGAAACACATAACAGAGTCACAAGAGCAATCCATCGGCATACTAGCTTGCCAACTTAGCACCGAAATTGCTCAATTTGTATTATTTTCTTAGGGTGCCTACTGCCTTTAGCAGCTGAAGTGCCTGATGGTAAATAGCTAGAGAACCAATTCTAGTTCATCCTGACATAGCAACAATGCTTATAGGAAATCATCTGTCAATTTCAGGTAGGAGAGAATGAAGAACATATCATCCTTTTTAAACTTTATTGACCGACACATGATGCCATTTGCTTTATAACAAGAGCTCAGGACAAAATACAGACATGGGGCGGGCTGCCATGCCAGCTCATGGATTTGTCTATTTGCTTACAATCCGCAGTTCGATTTGCCTTCATAGTACATAGATTTTTCTGATGTGAGAAGATGGATAACCATGCAAGCTGTGTGGGGAGAGCTTATGAGAAATCCACCAGGGTTTACTAACAGTGTCCTAGGTCTGTGCTGTTTAACCCAATTTAAATGAATAAAAATAAGCGATTAGGACATGAATTTGACTGGCAGAAATATGCTAACAATATACTAGGGTGCATTTCACATGAAACATTCACCCCAAGAGGAGTCTTGAGATTACAACTCTGAGAAGAATTGGCTGTTGGTGGTAGCATGCACTCATATTTGGGGAATGTTACTTGTAGAATTCTGCCAAAAGGCAAAATTCAAGTTTAAAGAAATAATTTAAAGTGCAACATAAAAGACTTTCTTCCTAAATCTTTTTTTTCCTTAACTTGTATTACCCAAACACAACTTCATGCTGTTTGGGGCATATAGAATATAGACATCTAGAATCTTGTATTTTGTTAGAAATAGGGAGACTCTGAAGTACCCTTCTTCCTTCCCAGTGTGTGGTTCAGAAGTAGCAAGGAAATGTTCTTGTCCTCAGTTGCTTATGTTCTTGGTGTTTTTAACACAGAAAATTTAAGATTTTCTCCAGAAGTGACTCTGAACAATGGACTATCTCCCCACGACTTTGTGCATATTCCATGTGTCATGTGGAAATGTTAAGGTCTCTGTTCTCCAGATGAACGCAGAGCGCTTCCTCTCCCACCCGCAGCAGAACCTGACCTGCTTCTGTCTGGGACACAGGGCAGGGCTGCCAGATGCTCTGCTGAGAATGTGCCTTTTAATTGTGTGCCAGCGGCAATGGCGGCCTTTGCTAATGGCAGTTCTTGGATGGTGAGCGGAAGATAACTGGCTTTGATGAAGTTCTCAACACGGGCTGGACACTCCAGAACAATTAGTGTTGCCTAGAAACTGCACCTAAGCCCAGCCGACCGGTCTTCCGGGAGCTGGGAAGGCTCGTGTTTAGTGAGCACATGGCAGAGCCTCTGGGGTGAGAGAGGACTCCATCCCTAGTAAAATTTTATGGTGGAAAGGAAGTCTAAAGTGATATGGACACTCTATCTCCCCCAAAGAGACACATGAAAGTGTTGTGGGGTAGATCGTGAAACTGGTTGCAAGACATAATTGCTTAAGTGGAAAAAGAAAGAGAAGAGGAAGGGAAGAAAGGGAGGAAGGAAGGAAGGGCAAACTAATGGTCTTGAACCCGAGAATAAGACTAAAATTAAGGCTGAGGAAAGAAATGCCGAGAGGCCCCTGCGGGGCTGGGCCTTGGTGCCGGCGCGGACGGGCGGTGGCAGCCTACACTCGTGACACTGGGCACTGGAGACACGAGAACTGAGCTTCTCAAATTAAACCCAGACCGCTGGCAGCCTTCCCCATCTATGAGGAAAGATCTAGAAAAACACTGGCCAGGAACAGAGAGAGACCATGAGCTGAGGGTCGTGGGCAGAACACGCCACCCACGGCCAGGCCTGGGTGGGACCAGCACCCAGGTGGAAATCCCTGAGGCCCCGTCAGGAGCCGAGGGCTCTGCAGGCCAGGCCAGACGCCATCCGCCCTGAATCCCTGACCATCCCAGGCTGCTCCGGCCTTACACAACTACAGAATACAGGATCAGAACCCACTCAGAGGAAGTCCAAGGGAAGACCTGAGGGCAAAGCTCTGGGAACGGCAGACCTGCACACACACTGTGTGTGTTAAAATTGCTCAATTTTCAAAGGGGAAAGGATCCCTCATGTAAGAAATAGCAGTGTGAAAAATACAGGCTAAAAACAAGTGGAGGGAGGCATTAGAAACATTTAACTGGAGGCCACGTGGGTTTGGAAAGTGGTGTAGATGGAGCTGGAAGGAGAATTAACAATCTAGAAAACAGGTGGAGGACAGCGTGGCATGGAACGCACAGGGGTGGTGTGAAGAGGACTCAGGATGCACAGCTGGCGCAGAGACACCAGCCACATGAGAAGGGAAGAGGAGGGAGGCACCACCTGAAGCACCACAGGACTGAAGGACAGGAGGACTGAGACAAACCCACGCCTCAGACAGCAAACTCACACCTCGAAATGCAGCTCCACCCCCAGAGAGCAGACTAACACCTCAGAGCAAATCCACACCTCCCAGGGCAAATCACACCCAGAAGAGCAGATTCATGCTTCAAAGAGCAAATCCACACCTCAAAATGAGAATTTAAAGACAAAAAATTCACACCTGGAAGAACAAGTCCACACCTTGAAATGAATATTCACACCTCAGAGAGCTGAAGCCTATCCACGCCTCAAAGAGGAGCTGAAACACATCCACAGCTAGAAGAGCAATTTCACACCTGAAAGGACACATTCACACCTGGAAGAGCAAATCACACCTTGAAATGCATAGTCACACCTGGAAGAGCAAAGCTGCGGAAGGCCATGCGT